GCATGATTGAGCTTTTTAAACTAAGGGGCTAGTCAAGCCAATGAGAGAGAGAAGACTCCGGATCTCCTGTACTCAATAACTCTGCCCATGTCTATCTATAATACACTATCCCCGTGAATTGAGAACATCTTCCCCTGTATAATATTATGTAGGAAGATGAGATGTTCTTCATGTGTGACTGTGCTATTACATGGGTAAACCACGTAGACAGAATTTGTATGGATAGGAGATCCAGACTCGAGAGAAAAACCCATTTGTGGGTCATCTCAGCTTTAATACACATACATATCAGATAGAGAGTGAGTAATGGAATTAAGGAACAACTTTTAGACTTTTTGCCGGATGGGGAAGTTTCCTAAGTTGTTTAGACTTCTTTACCAAACAACCCAATTACCTGTGTCTGTGAAAAGAAGAGAGAGAGAGATGGGCTTGAGGATTAAATTTGGGTTATGGACATCCTTCATTGGACATGGCCCCCAATTCTCTCACCAGGAAGAAGGATGATGCAGCAGCTAATTTCAACCATCCATCAGATAGGCAACCCTTTAGATTGGCCAAGTATGTATACGTACAATTTTGCCCTAAGAATGCAACAGTTTAAGTCGGAACTTTTTTGGGTTTATTCTTTTTTTGGTTATTAAAACTTACTTAGCATAGAGCGAGCCATTTATAGGAGTGCAATTTTTCCAGGTTAGGGTTGGGATTTTGTCAAAATTTCAATAGGCCAAATCTGAAATCCGAGCCCGAAATAGTGTAAACTGTTAAGTCGGGGCAACCCGACTTGCACCCCTAATTTACAGACTGAAATTAAGCTGACCTCAAATTGTCATCCTGTGGTATGCATCCGTTTGGCCACTAATTTTGAATCACCCCACCTTCTTCTCCCTCTAAAGTCCTGCTGAAAGGATCTCTTGATGAGATATAAAGGCAGAAGAGCTGTTTCCCACATGGAAAACAACTAAAATATATTATGAGTCTGCCATGGGCTGGTGGCAGTATTCCAAGTTATTGCCAAATCAGATGGTCCCCTCACAAACTGTAAGAATTGGCAACATCAGCCCTTCAAGTTGAAGATACATTAAGGCTGTGTTTGGTTTGAAGGAAAAAGTAGAGAAAGGAAATGAAAGAAAAGGTAGGAAAACCTTTACAAATCTTGTATAGATTTGCCTACCTTTTCTTACCTTTCCTTACCTTTTCCTTCAAACCAAACATAGCCTAAGGAAAAATTCTCAAGTGGGTGGTCAGTATTCCTTCCATTGATGATTGCATTCTTTCTAGGCACCTAGAATGGTGAAATGAACAATTAAAGGAGCCATCAAATGGCAGAACCTTTGGATGGGCCATCCATCAAGTGCCTCAGCTCAGTTTCAACTACACATCCATTATGTGTTGAAGCCTTACTCTAAGAGAAGCTGATACGCCTATAGCTTGTATAAAAAAGTAGCACCAGACAAACTGTTGCATCTTGTTTTTTCGAGGCCAATTTTGCCCATAAAAAAAGGCCATTGTCCAACATTGGTCCCAGCTATGTAGGTTCTTCGCCTCTTTGAAGGGGTAGACTGAATAGAGTCCTAAAGTTTGCCATTTTTCTGCATAAAATAACTACTCTCCCACATTTTCATTCTTTCCAGTCCTAGATTTTATCATTACAATTTTACCCATACAAAATAAAAAATACTATAGTGTTTTTGATATAATTAGCACATCAAATATCAGATAGGTTCTCAAGGTAAATATATAGTAAATTAAGACCTATTATTAGTAATAATCTCTTCCTATCTACTGCCTTTTTAGATCCTGAACTTTCATCCTTTCGTTTTACCTTCTACAATTATGGTTTATAGAACAAAAAATGCTTCTAATAACTAAGCAGCCGGTAGATAAATAGACCTCTTTTATTTGCTGCATGTAACTTTGCCAGGTTCTAGCCTAACCAGAACCCATAATACGATTGTGCTTAGGTCTAATAGCTTTGGCTGGGTTTGAGATGAAGCTTAACCCAATTAAAGTTTTTGCACGAGACTTTACCAGAACCCTGGTTTTCAAAATCGGATCAGACCAGAAAAATTGGGAATCAGTCGGGTGATTGGTTCCGTTTTACCCTAAAACCGTTATTTTGTCAAAAATTATTGATTTAATTATCAAATATTGATCCAGGCGATTGAATCATCTAAACCATTCAACGGTTTTGGCTGTTTTTTATTTTGTTTAATTGCTTTAATTTTTTTGGTTAGATGGGCCATTTATTTGGTCAGACCATTCAATCGGTTCATTGTCCGGTTTGATTTTAAAAACCTTGACCAGCTTTATTGTATAACTTTAAAGTTTTAGACCGAAACGAAGAAGTATCGGAAGGGTCCCAGAACGATACGTATCGGTCGATACGGGCCAATACGTGTCAATATTTTCAACCTTGACATTAACTGCTACATCTTCAAGCTCCTCTTGGCGTATTATTTCTCTTGTCGCCGACTGCAGGGTACTATTGAGATAAATGTACTTTTGGCTCAGTTTGTCAATAGATCCAAGTGGTCCATCTTCTCTAGTTTGTACACTTGGTCATTTGTCCCTGACTTCATTCTCTCCGCATATTTCACTGATTGTAACTTGAGCAATTGATTCTCTATGTAAATCACCAGTCGAAGATGCTCGTATTTGATGGATAGAGAACAATAAAATTACCCACTAGTTTGACTAATACTATTTATAGATAGTTTTCAACATGCAGTCATTTTTCTTAAAATTGCATTTTTCATTAGGATGCAATCAGTTCTTTGTAAATTGGTTTTCAAGATAGAATTTTATATGGCGGCCTCTGCGGCCATCATTTCTCTCCAGCCATGTTACTGCCATGCACGATAGATAATAACAATCAAGGAGTGTCTTGCATGGACCGGGAACTTAACTTCGCAAGGGAAGAGGAGTTATCCTGAAGACCTTGATGGATGACCTCATCCCGACAACCCTGGAAGCCTCATCCGACTAAAATACAGACTTCCATCTATATATAGGTAATCTCCGCTCAAGGTAAAGGACTTTTGGACTTGGCATTCTTGCACCCAACTCTTCTGCTCGGACCAGTACTATTCTCACTTGATCGGCCCGAACATCTACCTTTTCATTCAACTAACTTGAGCGTCATAGTGCCTACCCGGGGAACAACTCCTCAGGCCTCTGACTTTCCCTCTTGATTGCAGATCCCAATGCACGACTTCATCCTTCCAGCTCGGCCTCGTTCAGTTGGTAGGATTATTCGACTGCCTCCTCGGTTCGGGACACCTCGGATCGAACAATATCAGATTGGAGCCATATGTGGAAAATGCACAAAAAGTCATTTCCCAAACCTCTTTCTGCATACTCAAGACAACCATGCCTAAACACACATCTGACCACTCTGAAGATCGCTTCCCATCTCGGGGTTCACGCTCTCATCGCAACTCTCCACCTCGAGAGCCCTAATAGCAGACCATGGTCGATACTATGCAATTCCAGGCGATGCAACAGAAGGTCGACCACATTCTTGCAATGAAGAAGACGTTGGGACAGCCAAATCAAGCCCTTCAGACTGTTCACCCTACCACATAGGCACTTACTATGGCTGATCCTCGCACTAAGGACCCCAAAAAGTGCCACTCGGATAGGCAGAGGGTCCGGTTTGACCATGAAAGACAACAGTCATCCAGAAGACCAGACTCTTCAGTCTGGTCCCGTGCACATGATGTTCACAACAAGTTAAATCTTTCCACCCGGATACTAGCGAAAGAACAACTCGACCAACGTCCACCACAACCACCGATCTCAGTCCACAAGACTGAGAGCTATCGCGATCTATGTCACCACTTGGAGGACCTCATCAGGCGTAGATACCTCAGCAAGTTCCTGAATATCAAGGAGCATAAGCCAAAGGAGGAAGCACGTCGGCCCGACACACCACTAACCTGAGCTTCGCCATTAGAAGTCATTGCGGTCATCTCAGGCGGGATGGCTTCCTAGGGGAGAGCAGCACGACCGGGTAAGGCATATGCCAAGTTACACCAGGTCAAAGACGGGGAGCAGAAGAGATGGCATCAGGATGATCCGATCGCCTTCACCGGAGACGATCTCAGGGAGGTCCAGATTCCACATGATGACACCCTTGTGATAACTGCAGAAGTAGCAAACTTTGAAGTCCGACACATCTTGGTAGACACTAGGAGCTTGGCTGATATCCTCTTTGAAGAAGCCTTTAAGCAGCTCGACATCAGTAGGGATCATCTCACTCCAATCAACACTCCTCTGGTGGGCTTCTCTAGGGACACCCTACTGCTGTTGGTAGGGGACGACGACACGACATCACCACCACGGCGATGGTCGACTTCATAGTTGTCCAAGTCCTCTCCCCCTACAACACCATCCTCAGGTGGCCGCCCTTGAACGCTCTGCGGGCTTCGATCTCCACATACCACCTGGTCATGAAGTTCCCGACCCCATATGGAGTGAGCGTTGCTCATGGGAACCAAAGGCCCGCAAGGCAATGCTACCTAATGGCCTTCCGAGGAAGACCCCACGTCATTGAAACACTTAGCACAAAGAACATGGACCTGAGAGATGAACTGCGGATACAGCGTGAGCAACCTATGGAAGACCTCATCCAAGTACCTCTCTCTAGTGAAGACCTCAAGAAGATGGTGCAAGTTGGATCCCTCCAAGAAGACCATCTTTAGGATGACATTGTGCAGCTAATCAAGGACAACGCCAACGTGTTCGCTTGGTCAGCGGCAGATATGCCAAGGATTGACCCCAAGGGCGTTAGAATGGTGGCAGGTGATCAATGAGGAGGTCCAGAAACTGCTCGACGTCGACTTCATCCAAGAAGTGACCTATCTGGACTAGCTGGCGAACATGGTGATGGTCAAGAAAGCCAATGGAAAGTGAAGGATCTGTATTGACTTCATCAAACTGAACAGGGCCTGTCCTAAAGATAACTTTCCCTATCGAGGATCGAGCAGCTCATCGATGCAATGGCGGGACATGAACTCCTAAGTTTCATGGATGCGTTCTCAGGTTATAACCAAATCCAAATGCATCCAGACGACTAYGAGAAGACAACATTCATCACTGATCGAGGACTATACTACTACAAGGTGATGCCCTTTGGCCTAAAGAACGCCGGTGCTACCTACCAGCGGTTGGTGAATTATATATTTAAAGATTAGCTCGATCAAAACGTTCAGGCCTATGTGGACGACATGTTGGTGAAGAGCAAGAAAGCCGAGCAACACCTAGCCGACCTCAAGGAAGTCTTCGGCACACTCAGGAAATATCAAATGAAGTTGAACCTGATGAAGTGTGTCTTTGGTGTTGGCTCCGACAAGTTCTTGAGGTTCATGGTTACGCAGAGGGGGATCGAGGAAAACCTAGAAAAATTTCAATCCATCCTCGATGTGCAGTCATCTCAAACCTACAAAGAATTATAGTGCCTCATCAAACAAATAGCAACTTTGAGCAGGTTCATGTCAATGTCTATGGACCAATGCTTGTCATTCTTCAAGGAACTAAAAGGATACCTGAGTTTGCCACCTTTGCTCATAATGCCGAGCCCAAGAGATTTACTCCTGCTCTACTTGTTGGCTGGAAACGAGGTGGTCAACTTAGTCTTGGTAAAGGAGGAACGAGGAAGGTCAGACCTAGAGGTCGATCTACTATACAAACAAAGTCCTCACAGGCGCAGAGACACGATACTCAAACCTGGAGAAGGTCACCCTGGCCCTAGTTTCAGGCATACAACATCCGTGTACTCACCGATCAGCCACTCAAGCAAGTCCTACATAGGTCAGAGACGTCTGGCCGCCTAGTCAAATGGAGTGTGGAACTAAACGAGTTCGATATTGACTATGTGTCTCGGCCCACCATCAAAGCCCAGGCCTTGGCCGACTTCCTAGCCGAGTGCATCTTCTCAGTACAGGATCTAGCCGAGGTCCCACCGGCCTAGACTCTTCATGTGGATGGCTCGCCCAACCAGCAAGGTAGTAGAATCGGATTCATTCTCCTCAGCCCAGACAACACCATCCTAGAGCACACCCTCAAGTTTGAGTTCAAATTATCCAACAACGAGGCTGAGTACGAAGCTCTAATAGCCGGACTTCAGCTCGCCCTAGACCTCAAAACTGGGTGAGTTGAGGCCTTCAGTGACTCCTAGGTGGTAATCAACCAGGCCACCGGCCAGTTTGAAGCAAGGGTGCTAGTTATGGCAAGTTACCTGTAAAAGGTGCAAGGGCTCATTCAATGACTCAAACACTTCACCATACAACAAATCCCCTGAGCTGATGCACTCTCAAAGCTCGCCAGCTCACTCCACACAGACCTCGGCACGACTGTTAGGATGGACATCCTAGCATAGCCCAACATCTCAGAGACAACCCTACTAATCCTCCATGTTCAACAAGAGCCGTAATGGATGGACCCCATAATACAATACCTATAGGATGGCACCCTCCCGATCAACCGAACTGAAGCAAAGAGGCTCGCCCACAAGTCAGCTTGGTACTGCCTTATCCAAGGACAACTCTATCACCGGTCACATACTCTCCCCAACCTAAGGTGTCTCCCTCCAATAGAAGCCGACTACGTCCTTAGGGAGATACACGAGGGTATTTGCAAAGATCACCCCAATGCTCGAACCTTGGCTTATAAGGCTCCTCAGCAAGGTTACTTCTGGCCCACCATGAAGTAGGATGCAACTCAACTCGTCAGGAAGTGTGACCGATGTCTGAGGCACTTGAACCTTTACCACTAACCAAAGACTCCCCTAACACCCATTACCAGTCTATGGCCCTTCGCCCAATGGGGTATAGACATCCTTGGGGCCTTCCCCACAGTGGCTGAGTAGAAGAAGTATCTCCTCGTCATGGTGGACTATTTCACTAAGTGGGTGGAGGCCGAGCCCCTAGCATGCATCACTGCATAGAACACCCAGGGATTCCTATGGTAGAACATCATCTGTCACTTTGGCATCCCTCAGGTTCTCATTACCGACAATGGCTCCCAGTTCATCAATTGGAAGTTCAAGGCCTTCTGTGTAGAGCTCAAAATAGATCACCAGACCACAACCATTCACCAACCACAGATCAACGGACAGACTGAGGTGATCAACCGAATTTTGCTCCACGGCTTGAAGACTAGGCTTGACAAGGCCAATGATATATGAGTTGAAGAACTACCAAGCATTCTTTGGGCCTATAGAACCATACCACGAAATTGGTTCTCCTACTTTTTGGACCGAGCTCTAGAATGGCGAGACGAACAGTGAAGATCTCTGTGTAGAGCTCGACCTAGTGGAGGAAGCCTAAGACCAAGATCACTTCAGGATGGTTGCACAACAACATAAGATGGCCAAGTACTATGATTCTAAAGTTCAAAGGAGAGAGGATGGAGTTCAAGACAGGGGACCTCGTCTTCCATAAAGTGATAGTACCAACACCAAGAGAAGGGAAGATCGAACCTAATTGGAAGGGTCCATACAGGGTGATTAAAGTCCTCGGCCCGAGCACCTACAAACTAGAAGATCTCAATGAGAAGCCGATGCTGAGGAGATGGAATTCCGAGAACCTAAGGATGTACTATTAGTAGCCAACTCCACACTATCAAAGTAATAAAGTCTTACATTTTTGCATATGATTGATAAGCACATTGTGCACACTCCCCATCTGAACTCTAACGGCTGGGGTCTCCAGGCACAAAACATACCTGCCTAGCTGAACCCTAACAGCTAAAGCGTCCAAGCACAACACACACTCATCACTGTACACATGCTCACATGACACCATTGAGCCGAACTGGTGCGATTAACAGACTTGGCCTACCTAGAACGGCTGAGGCCCACGCAGGAACGACGTCCCCGCCCCAAAGGGCAAGAGGACGACCATCGAACTCGCACACCCAGCTGAGAAACCGTTAGAGTAAAGCCAGCCAAGGAACAGGACTAGCCCAGTCATAGTGCAAGGCCCCCCCGAGACCAGGCACCACTGAGCTCCTCAAAGATATCAAGAGCTTGGAAGCACCTCGGCCAGCACAATACCAAGGCCATGGAACTCATGACCTCAGCTATCGGACACCTCGTCCAACACAAAACCGAGATCCACAATGAATCATTTCCAAAGGATAATAGTAAAGAAAGGGAAAGAAACTGGAAAGAATGCTCGACAAAAATCTTAAGTCTTTCATTAATCGCAAAGTTAATTACATGGATGAAAGCTCGACATACCGAGCTACATACATTACAACAAAAAAAAGAGAGAGAAGTGGGGTGCTTCATTCGTTAGTTGGAGGCTCCTCGGCTCAATCTTGGACATTGGCAGTGGCATCTTCCCTGTCGAGCATAAGGGGGTCGAACGGGCTGAACCCCTGAACAGCTCGGCCACCTTTGGGAAGCAACACACGACCCTTCGCCGGTAAAGAGCGAATCCCTCCTGCCAAGACAAGGTGGCGTGGTCATCCAGGTCGTTCTGGTAGGCCTTCAAAGCCTTATATTCTGAGACGCTTTCCTTCTTTGCCCTAGAAACTTTCTCCTCAACGTAGGCAAGCTCCTTCCTCAGTGCATCCCGTGCCCCCTTCAAGTCGTGGACGCGGTCTTCAGCTTATGGACGGTGTCACCTCTCTCCTTGACACCACATTTCAACTCACCCAGCTTGGACTTTAGCTCAACAACCTCCACCTTCATCTGCTCGTACTCGACCTCCCACGACTCATAGATGTATCACAATGTGCGAAGACGGTCGACAAGACCGACAACCAAGCAGATAGACTACAAAACACCAAGTCATTAGTACGGGGAAAGAAAGGCGATAAAACAACAACAAAAGAAGTAAAACTCATGGCAACAGCTTGATGCATGGTTGCACTCTCCAAGAAGCTGCTGGTATAACTGTCGACCTCTTACCTAATGTCGGGGCGCATTAGACCCTGGGCAAGTTGCTTGAACACCCCTTCTAACTCCAGGGTGTCCTGTGGCCAAACATACCACCGCAACACATATGCTCTGACCGAACTCTCCATTGTGACATGTTTCAGTAGCGACAAACAATTAAACTAAGCAGTGGCCTCCTCAGCGTTGATGACAACGACTTCCTCTAGGAACTTCAACCTCTTCCCCTACCAAGGTGTGCTCTCCACCAAGCACCCTTGCTGCGCACTCAGAGCCTTGGCCGCCTGAGCTCTACTCTCCGTTGTAGCCCTCATGCGCCTACTCAGTTCCTCGACACTCGCCATGTCTGTTGCACAAGTCGACACAAAGTTAGTACTAAGTAAAGAGTTCAAAAACAAAGGAAAGGAAGACCGCATAACCTATGGACCGGGCTAATAGTGCTTGGTCATCGTTCATCAACCTAGCACGGAGCAGCATCAAGAACGATGTGTATTCTTGCATGTCAATCCTCTCTACCATCATTATGGCCACCGACTGCTTCCTAGAAAGCTCTTCATCATTCACCGCCTTCACCTTGGTCCTCGGAACAAGTAGCTCGACAAGGAAGGGCCAACCCCCCGGGCAGCGCACGAAAAAGAATCTCTCCTACCAGTGCTTCACCAAGGAGGGAGCCCTGACAAGCACTTTGTTATGCTGCCGAGCAGAGAAATAGTAGTAACCCTACTGGTGCTTTTTTAGGTGCAAGAAATAAGAGAACATCGGCAGGCTAACATCTATGTTGTGGACTGAGCAATAGAAAAGGAGGCCGACTAAGTACCTAAAAGAGTTGGGCATTAGTTGGACCGGCTGGACGGGGTACTACCTTAGCACCACAGCAATACCCTCACTCAAAAGAAATCACAGCCCAGTTATCAGGTTGTGCTCATAAACGTAGAGCTCACTAGGCCGAGTTGAGGTAGCCCACTCACTAGCGCTCGGGCACCTCAACTCGTACTCCATGGCAATATAGTACAAGGCCCTGATTCGAGCCAAGTCTCCTAGAGTCAAACAACAAGTAGTGGATGCAAAGTAGCTGTCGAGCCGCACAAGGACACTGGGCCCCTCTTCCGACACAATATCTTCCCCGGTGTCGTCGACCCCGGTCCCCCAGACCACAACCTCCTCCACCGCTTCAACCTCACCACCGACCCTGTTGACCTCGGCTCCATGGCCATCGGTCTCACAGACCATGAGCGCGGTAGCCTCAACATGAGACCCCAGCTCAGACTCACTACTCAACGAACCAAAGGAAGAGGAGGAATGGGAAGAACAAAAGATGAAGAAGATGAAGACATCTTACCAAGAAGAATGACGGGATTACACCATGGAATTACCGAAGCACCAACTAAGGACTATTTCTCGCCGAACTCCAAAGAGTAGACTCTTTGCAAATGACAGAGTGAAATGGTTATTCACCCCCTTTTTATAAGGCCAACCAACAACCTAGATCAAGTCAAATCGATGGCATCGATTCAACATCGCACTCTGCACATGTGTAACCAATGGATTCAGCACTATCTAAACAACTCAACCCAAGGAGAAATCTTTAAGTTCCTCAGCTGAAAACTGTAGAGCTCTTCCACACCTAACTGTGGCTGATCACTACACTCCTCAACTTTAGAATTGGGGGAGTGGTGTTTGGGTTATGGTCAAGCTAGATCAAAATTCCACGTAATGGCCTTCGTGGTCATCATCTCTCTCCATCAACGTCAGTGCCGTGCACGACAGATAATCATAACCAAGAAGGAGTGTCCTGCATGGATCGGGAACTTAACTCTATTGGGGAAGAGTAGTTATCCCGAAGACCTCGGCAGAGGACCTCATCCATCTATAAATAGGTAATCTCCACTCAAGGTAAAGCACTTTTGGACTTAGCCTTCTTGCACCCACCTCTTCTACTCGAACCAGCACTGTTCTCACTTGCTCGGCCCGACCATCTACCTTGTCATCCAATTAACCTGAGCGTTGGAGTGCCTACCCGGGGAACAACTCCTCGGGCCTTTGACTTTCCCTCTTGGTTGCAGATCCCAGTGCATGACTTCATCCTTCCACCTCAGCCTTGTCCAGTTGACAGGATTATCTGACTGCTTTCTCGGTTCGGGACACCTCAAATCAGACAACATCACTTACCAATCCTTTATAAATCATTAATTGGAAGATGCTCAAATTTGATGGATATAAAACAATGGAAACACAATTGTAGTAGTCTATGCTACCAACTTCAGCAATACTCTATTTGTATAGAGTTTTCAACCACTTTGAATAGACACAAAAAGCATCCTCACAAAGAGATGACTCTCCTAAATAGTGTGCAAACCACCCATTTGAAGAGACAAAAGGAAGAAGATGACACAACGTTTAGACCAAAAACACATTTAAATAAAATAGAAAATGGTTAGAATAAGGTTAAATGGAATGTAAGCAAAAAAAAAAAAAAAAAACTTAAAACACAATCATTTAAAAAAGGATATGGTGTGGTGCATGTATACAGACAACCCCCCACAAACACGTGAACACAATGCATAACTTATCCAATGGGCCCCTACCCATAAAGATAGCAAATTATCTTATAAGTTGAACTCCACTTTTTTTCCCAAGCAATGTGGGACAAGGTGTTTTCACATGCTTCAATAGGATAGAACAAGGGAAAAGGCAAAACAATAAAAACAAAACTTTTCCAATAGAGAGGGAGAGAAAGATTCATGTATTTTAAATGTTCCCATTATAAACACCCCATTTTTTCACCCTTCTAGTCTTTTTCTATCTCTCTGCAATACTTTGATTTTCAAGCAATGCTTTAGCCAAACCCTCAGTTGACTTAGGGCTATTTTTGGTATTTTTTATTTAAACCACCAAATTAATCCAATCAAACCTATGGATATGTAAAGCCTAAAATTCCAAGTCCAACGATACTAAGACTGCCCAAATCCGACATCGACACTATTTCCCTCTTCGTCATAAGATCCAAAGCTAGAACTGATCCCAACCCTTGGTTGCAATTTTTCCTATCCCTATCCTAATGTCATAAATCCAATCTGATAGGTAGATCCCAAAATTTCAAATATGATGATATACTAATATCACACAAATCCAATACTATTTACCCCTTCATCTTAAGACCTGAAGCCGTAATCGATTCTAATCGTCTAATTGAGATCATTTTGATCATGAATCTTATATCACATCAAGATAGAAATCCAATAGTACAAGTACATAGAGCCCAAAATTCTAAGTCTGACGATACC